CGCACACACTGTAATATACACACGTGTTGGATCACAGTACTTTCTGCTCTGTCCAGACTATGGCACCATGTGGCTTTAGACCCCAAAGTGTGCAGCTGCGGAGCCGATTTTGTTGCAAAGGTCGGACCACTGCTCCATGTCTTTACAGACGACCTGCCAACGTGGAAATCGATGCACATGGCACCACGAGCAAGACCTGAGAATTGTGCCAGTCAGCTAAAACACCACGTTTCACGGCGAGCGTCCTGCATTAACTATCCGTCCATAAATTAAATGCGCCTTCACGACGGGAGAAGGATCCGAAAAGGCAGAGAGACAGTGATCCCCTACAGCGTCAGCGCTGAAGCCCTGCACCCGAAACACGAACGAACACGCCCTAAAAGGCGCGTCTGTGGCTGAAGGCGTGTCGAGGCTTGGTCCATGTGTCGGACTTGGGTTGTTGAAGCCGCGCCCCGGGCTGTACAAGAGAAAGCAGACAGTAAACTCAATAAGTTCAGGGTTTGGGGACTGAGTGGAATATGGAGGTTGTGTCAATTCAGGGTGTAGAGACCCTGAACCTCAAGGACAAACTGTTAGGTGACGTCCCGGGACCAGGTACTCAAACCACAGCTTGAAGCCGTTCTTCCCACACCTTGAAGCCGTTGAGCCTCACATCCGAGCACTGATTAACGGGGTTCAAGGGAATCAGGGAGCCGGCCATGCAGCAATGACTAAGCCAACTAAGCAGAGCCAACCTTGAACCCTGTTTCGCGCAAACAGCCTCAAGCCCCTTGACTGCAAGTTGCAAGCAGGTCCCCTGAAGTTCGGCCTTGAGCGTGTACCTCACAACCAGGTCGTCTGGTATCGTGAGCACCTCCACGGGTACGCGTATCACCACGTGACACTAAATCCTGTAAAACAAACCCTAATGAGTTATGGCTCCTAAACACATACCCTAAACGGAGGGCTTCTCAGCATCGATCCCACGTAACAGTGCATGTATCGCAGGAAAGCAGAAAGGCAGCCTCACAGGGAAGTCTGATGTAGAACGACACCGAATAATGAATACAATGCAGGTTTCTGAGCCGCAGGATTGCAGACCCCGCCGCCTGAGAATGAACTGCACAGGCCTAGGCGGAGCTCCGTATATGCGTATGAAGTCATCTGGATCCAACATTAGGCCAGAACAAACTTTGGAAATGCGCAGTGACCCCATCTATGGGCCTGAAGCCGTTCAGTTTGGCAGCACCGAAGGTGGCTTTGCACGGTGCCAGGGTGGGCTGGGAGATCCAAAACATCTTCCAGTCACCTCTTTAAGCTGAACATGCCATTGCATGGCAGATCCCAAGTTCGTATATAAGACCCGACACTACCGAAGCCCCAAAACCCTACACCACAATCCGGCCTTTTTCCCTTTGGGGCAGCTGTGACATCGCACCGGCAGGCGACGGGAGCCGAAAAAGTCCTTCGCCGCATTTTTTGAACTTGCAGGGTTTGGCTGTTCGGTGTTGGGCTTCAGACCCCTCCAAGGAGCGCTCTCTGGGCAGGCTGCACACATTGATCTGTAGTTTCAGCGCAAACCTACAAGCCCTGAGTGCTAGTCATGTACTCGAGCCCGATATTCCATGCCACAAACCCCACCCTTCCCTCCTGTTTTCTGAGTAGGCACTCCTTCGATGGCATAATCGGTGTGTCTGCAATGTCTTCAATGTGATCCCGAACCATAACTTCTAGCGCATAATCATAAACACGCCACGCTGCCATTCACGCCCAAAGCTCCCACAAGCTGCCTTTCAGACCCATCACATCCCGACAGCAATCCGATCAGAACTTTCAACCACGCGATGACAAAAGCGAAATTGAATGCATCCCCACGAGGCCGCTCTGACTCTAGAGACCTGCAATGCCCAAGCACAATTAGGAGGTTCCATTCCTGGCAATCTTAGTCCATCGGGAACTCTAGGGAGCTTTGGAGCGACAAATCCCCAAGACCTAGTCCACCTATCCAAGCCCGAATCAGACTACTCCATGGGCCCTTCAAACCCTCGCGCTGCCTCGCACATGGCAGGGTCCATGAGGGAAAGGGACTGGCAGGCAGTCTCTCTGCGATTGGGACGCTCCGTTTCCACTCCGTCCCCAAAACGGAATGAGGTGCCCCGCCCCAGCACTACGATCAAAACATCTAGTCCTAGCGCTACAGAGCACGTGTGTGGAAGAAAAGTCAGACGAGCCAACTCAAATGACGGGATTTGCACACTTTAGATTTTACATTAAAAGACAAAAACCGAATCACCCAGGCACCGTGGTTTGAAGGCAGTTTCGTGGCCATAAACCTTAACTCTACCAGTCCTGAGAATCCGAAACACCTACAATTCTACAATCCGATGAACCCAATGCAACCCAGCACCGCAAAACTCTGCACCAAATAACGAGCAAACACCGGCATTGCTAGCCTGCATCGTCTGCTGCTCATCGAGCAGAGGGACGAAGAAACTCTCCCAGAAGCCCCATTCGCCTGAGGCTGAGGCGAATGGGGGAGTTGGGTTTTCGGCTCATGAGTTCGGCGATGTTGTATCTTGGGATTACCAGTACGTAGTCATACGATGGGGACATTTAGGTTTACGGTTTTGGTAAAGGCGAGTTCTAGGAGTGGAGATGTCGGTCTGACGGTTTTAGATTGGGGATTCTAAGGTTTAGGTGCGGCGTAGGATTGAAGCTTCACGGTTTCGGCTTCAGGCCGAGTTTAGGGCCTGGGCTGTTACACGAGCACCGGGCCAACATGCTGAGAATTGACTTCATTGGTTTGAAGAAAAAACCAGGTCGAAATGAAGCTCTGCATAATTCGATCATGATATACATCCTCACTTGACAGTGAATGTACACATATATATGAATGTGTGTATGTATATATATATATATATATATGTATATATATATATATATATATATACACATGTATATAGATATATACACAGCATACATGCAAGCAGGTATACTCACTTGCAGTTTGGTGCTAAAGTGATTGGCGTGTCCAGTAATCGGAGCCTCTCAGCCCACAGGCGCAGACACGCCGCTAGGAATTGCTTTAATGGCTATAGGCTAGAGGCTGGTGTCTAGTTTAGGCTTCAATTGTCAGCCAAAACCGTTTTACCGATCGTGTCAGTATATCTCATATCAGAAAAGCGGCGACTCGGTCTCAGGCTCAACTTTGGCTGTCATCCCTAGATTCGGCCACACAAAGATTCAGGTTGAGTGATGCTGTTGAGTGTGTGGGAATCTGATTTTGGATTTACGGCTCGGATTTTTCACATTCCTTGCTCCAACGAGGACAGACACCAAACGCCTGCACCAAAATTTCCAAAAAAGCATCAAACTGCAAGATCGTCTGCAAGCCGCTCTTTTGTGATCTCAACAGGAACCTTTTCAGTCTATTAGCGGCCCATACGTGGTAGCGGCGCTTCATCGAGCCAGCAAACGTTCCGAGGCGCCAACCGTTGAACTGCTTCGAGAGCGGTGTATCACTGGAGACCTGCCGCATCCTGAGATCGGAGGACTCGCAAGTCTCTGGCTCGGGCTCAGTCAATGGCTTACCCCGAACCCGAGGCCATACCCTAATCTGACCTCTGAGCACCGTTCATCCTACTCCCTACTAACCGCACAAGGCATAAGCTGACGCTTCTGTAACACCCTGAGGCCGGAGCTTCATCACGAAGAACATGTCTGCACCTCGAAAGGCTTCCGCGAAGGATCTAAGTATATGGTCTTGGGGTTCTCGAAACTTTTTCTGTTTCGGTCTGCTTGATGGGTCAGGATGCAGGACCGGTTGGGTGGTGCCAATGTTTGCCAAACGGCGACGCCGGTGCTCCCTTAAACATGCACACGGCCAGTCAGTAGCACGGCCAACAACAAGACTCTGAACCATCAACTCAAGTGCTTGAAACTATACAGCATGTTGGTATAATAAAAGCCCGAAAGTCCATTGCATGCCCCAGTGTTAACCTGGACTTGACAACACCCTGGGGGACAAGTCTAACGTACACTGGACGCATTGGGGATAAAATCCCATGCCGGTTTAACCCTTACATACACGTGGATGAAACAGAAATCTGATGACTCATGAAAAACAAAATACGGCCCTCAGGCCTGTCTTGGGTTCCTTCATCGCGTCCTCGTCCCACCTCAGTGTCAGCTCCGGCAGCATACGAGGACGGTTCCGACACAAACACACACACACACACACACACACACATTTTGTATGGGGATCCATACGCGGACCCTGCACCGTATCCGATGAGAACTTCGACCATCATCTCTAAGACCTAAGCCGGGCACCTAATGCTTAGGGCTACCTCGACGCTTCATGTGCATTTCACTCTCCTTTGTATGATCAAGGTCCGCGACAGGAGCAGCGTGAATCATTCTAAATCATCCGAAGCCATGAAAACCCCAAACCTCACTCGATGTGCATAGCATAACGTATATAGGACCGACTCAATATGTGTGCAGGGAGCGTGAAACTGCCCGGTCTGAAACCTCAAAGGACTCTTGGATTCCAGAAACAGAATGCTCAGAAGGCCAATGAAGAACATTTGAGCGCCTTCAGCGCGGCGAGAGCCTTTAAGGCCGTCTTAAAACGAGTTGAGAACGTAAGCATCCCTTTCACCATTGAGGCACAGGGGCTCACGGGGGGGTTGTCTCTGAAACCATATTCGAGAGATTTGGCAGACACGACTTTAAAGCAATGCTCGGAGATAAGTCCATCGTCCCAAAATCTCGGATGGTGCAGAGGGGCATCTCAAATTCAATGCCGTCGAACGTGCAGCGCATGCGTAGTCCGGAGGCTCTCGTCTCGAGAAATCCCCGAGGCTTTGGCTGCTACGCTTTGTTTCGGGGTTTTGGGGATTGGGGTTTAGTTTAGGCAGCTTAGGCATAAAGGTTGCAGGTCGCGTGGATGGACTTGGGGTTTCAGCTTTTTGTTTGTTTTCTTTCAGAGAACCTGGTGTTCGGCGGATCGAACTCCGTCAGGATTCGGAGTCGTCAGACAGAAGCCTTGGTGGGGAAATGATGCGGGTTTGGCCGCTTGTCTAGCTAAGGCCGAAATCGAAGGTCACTTACGGTTCCGGGGTGCGTGGCTGTTGTGAGGGAGAAGCAGCTACAGCGGACATTCTGGCCGAGGATTTGTGGGTTTGGGGCTCGCAGAAGCTGGGGCTAGGCTTGGAATTCTTCTTTCTGGGCGATTCATAGGCAAGACCCGAATGCACTGGAATCTAGTTACTATGCATCGCGCTTTGCGGAGGACGCGGACAGGTCGGCAACACCTGGAGGGTCGCCAAATCCGGGCGAGAACCGTCACGGCACGACCCGCACAGCGCCGTTTTAGGGAGCGTGGCGACTCCGGGAAGTCGTGCGCTAGATCTGACTGAAACAGTAACAGAGAATCCCACAGAAACTTCGCAACATGATGCCAATGCCACTCATGAAATCTCAGTCCATCCTACAATCCATCCACAAGAAACTACTAGAAACCGCCTGCACGGAAATCCCTTCGCAACGTTCTCGGGTAAAACACAAACTTCACCGCGAGGAAACAAACATTCAGCAAGAACACCTGACTGCAGAGGCTTCGTTCAGGACAGGGCTCTCGGAATTTTAGCATTTAGGCTTCAGGGTTGAACGTGCAGGTTTTGAGGTCGAAGATTTGCTTCAGGGCGGCCTCTGGATCTGCATAAAGGTAATTTCGACTTTAGGCCGTTCGGTGGCTTATAAGATTCAGGGTTTCGCCAAAGCACTGCCTCACCACCCAGGCCGAGAAGATTGCCAGGCCAATACAAGCCACTGTGAAGAAACCTGGGGAAAGGACCGGAGTGGTCCCACGCCAATAATTGCCGCACTCCAAGTCCGGAGAGGCTCATGGACTATACGCCCAGAGTGAAGAAGAGTTCAGAGGAGCTGAGAATGCAGTGATCTCCGCCGCCAGTTTATGCCATCCCAGTAGTCTTAAGCTTTGCTACTGGGCCTGAAGTCATCGAAGCGTTCTACACCGTAGCTACAAACTGAAAAGTCCGCAAGTTTGAATAAACGCCCACACCCAATCAACGCCCTTCACATGGAGATCCCTCACTCCGCCCTCCCTGTCAAACCCATGTACCAATGCATGTCGAACCCCCAAACCTTCAGCACCAAGAAACCGTAGAGCAGCAGCTGGTTTAGCACGCTGTTCGACGCGCGCAGATACCACTCCTGGTCCAAAGCTGCTCTGGTGTTCAAGGTAGGAGTTAAGGTCGGTTCCTGGGGCAAGGGAGTAGCAGGCAAAGGGCAAAGGCAAAGGGCTATAATTAGACTATGAACATGACACGTGCGCATCAACTAGTTTAGGACTTTTTGAAACGCAAAAAAAAAGCAGACTGGAACGATCGACATGGTCGACTCTCCGAGACGTGCAGAAGAGGCTACCCAGGCCTCTAGGCCTATGACCTCAAAAATCCAAAAACTTGACCGGTGTGGAAACTCTGCCCGAATCCAACTCGAACATATATCGTATCGAGAGCCACCTGCGACATCGCCCCTTCAAGAACCGAAGCCCGAAGCGCTCACCAAGCAGAATGCTACTCGAGCCGAGATGCTACCACGCAAAGGCTTCCCACGAAGAAAAACCAAGCAATGAACCTGAGTTTTTGGATCATCGCACAGGTTTCGAACCCAAGCCCGAACTCTGGAGGCTTAGGTCGGATTCGGGGCTCTGAAATGACCCTCTTCGACATTGGCCAGGGTGGTTGCTCTTTAGGAGTCGGGCTTGTGTTAGAGAATCTACGAGCCAAAACAGGGCATAACTGTATAGTTAAATTTAGGCATAGTGGATTGTAGTAAGGCGAGTACTGCTTGCTTCAGAGGATCCATGTGTTTAGATCGGAATTACTATACGGGTGTGATCTAGTTGCACATTTCCGGTTCAGGTATGTGATGTGTCCGAAAGGGTTGACGACGACGTTTATGACCCTGCAGGGATGGTCATGTGGCGCAGCAACCCCAAACCAAATGCTCGAGATTCCAGGGGGCTGGTTGTACAGATCATCGTGGAAGAAGGGCACGACGCCAGAAGCATCGGGAATGCTCGTGGTCTCATCCTTCCAGATTTTGGCACGAGATGGGTGCTTTTAGGGTTAGGGCTGGTGCGTATCTTCGAGCTCGCCCTTGGAGTTTAATCCCTTCCGCTAACACTTCACGTGCAGGCCCCCCCACCTCCACAATAAAAGTTCGGAAAGCGTGTTTACTACTAGTATTAGGGGTATTTTTACCACCTTTGAGAGATCTGGCTCTTGCTGCTGCTCCTGCTGCGTCTATTGCGCCTGCTCCTTTGCTTGCTCTTGCTCCTGCTCTGGCTGTTGTTCCTGCGTTTGCTCTGCTCCTGCTCTTGCTCTTGCTCTTGCTCTTACTCCTGCTGCTGCTCTTGCTTCTGCTCTGGCTCCTGCTCTTGCTTTGGCTGCTGCTCTTGTTCTGGCTCGTGCTCTTGCTGTTGTCTTGCTCCTGAACCCCCTGATGCAGATCAGGTTCTAAAAGGTGTCGATGCTGTCAGGGTGTTTTCCGAGAGTGTTTCTATTCTTAGAAGGGTGTTTAATCAATGGGGGAAGGGATTATTGTGGTTGAGGATTTAGGGCATTTAGGGTTGAGGGTATAAGGTTTAGATTTAGACTTCGGGCAGTTCAAGGCTTTGTGATTCAATCATGAAATCCCTCATTAGAGAATGCCAGCAACACATGCTGAAGCCCTATACCCGAAAAAGTAAGTCCTTCCCGGGCTCGGCTGTGAGATTTGGGACAGTGGCCAGAGAGCCCGGAAATCATCTAAAGATTATGGTAACTCACCGGCGAAGTGGCCTTAAAAGCTGGAGCAGCGAGCCATTACCGACGATGTCAGGCTTGAGACGTTCTCGAGTCTGCACTTGGGGCTTCAGTCAAGTCCCTGAACTTCGGGAAGCCTCGAGCCTAGAATCTTGACCGCCAGCCGCCAGCCCCTTAGCCTCAAGCTGCTTATGTCCGAGAGCTCGAACCCCTCATCTCACCATTCGCCCTAGCTTAAAACAAATCGGTTTCCTCACTTCTGGTATCTACTTTGCATGCCGCTTGTACACATCTTGACTTCTTGAACTGATTGTCAAAGCCTACGCGATATGCCCTACATCCGGAACATGAAAGGCTGAAGGTTCAACCATCGCTTCTAAACTTCCCAACCCTTGAAAGAACGGTCCTGCGGCATGCTGAGATGCAACCGGACACCAAGGGTGAGCATCACTCGATACCTTGCTCCTACGGATCCTACAGGCTATCAGCCCTGAAACTCAAAGGGATTCGGGTCTACGTTTTCGGGGATATAGAATGGAATGGATTTGTGATTTGAGGTTTTGGAGACCTCAAGGTTGAGTGCGTAGCTTTTTGTTGGGGCGGGGCGCGGGGGGGGGGGGGGGNNGGGGGGGGGGGGGGGGGGGGGATGAAGCCCGAACCCTGAATCACTTCCTGTTTGATTGCGGCGTGAAGTCGCAAGAAGACACTGTAGGTTTCGCGAGCTGCCCATATTGACGGAAGTTCTCAACACTCTCTACCTTAGAGCACAGCTTCACTTGCTAGTGTTCATCGTCATGTTTTTCGAGATGCAGCATTGACGAGATGCTACCTCCTTTTCTTGCACAAGACCTCAGGGATTACATCAAACTCCATAAATGCCTGGACTTTCAAGAAAAGGCCAGATCAGGAACCTCCTGCCTCTCTTGCATCTTTAGGGGTTGGTCTCAAGCATCAGCACCATCATAGGGGGCTGCGCCAGATCGGGGTCTCTTTTGAGGACTCCCTTGTTTGTGTAACCCCAGAGCACGGTTACCCAGATGGGTCGCTTCCCTGATGAAGCCATCTTATACCAACCAATTTCCATAGGTACGTGGCGTAATTATTGGCGGAGGAAGCTTAAGTCAACGCCACCATCCTCACACGATAACAGCCCGTCGACAGAGCCAAAGATAGCAAAAGGCTGAACGTCCGAAAGGCTCTCAGCCGGAGCAGTGAAGCCTACATACTGAACCCTATAAGCCGAAACCTTGCGCAACGCACCCTACTCAACACCTCAAGTCCACAATGTTTCTACAGGTATCCAGCGTTGTTGTTGATTCCAGCCACACGAAGGAAGCGATGCCCATGGAAAAGGAACGAATGGCCCATCGTCGATGCCTCAAGGAGGTGTCGATGGTCACCGGGTTTTGGCGCACATCGTATGTCCACAGTTGCAAGAGAGGCAAACAACATATGAACATGCGTGAGCCCTCAAAACCCCACGCCCATGACCTAGGCGCTTAGTCCCCTTATAAACTGTAAATTATAAAAAGTCCCAGGCCATGGTCTCTCCCCCCCCCCTCCCGAACCACTACGCGATGGCTATCGGGCTCGGCCGGGTCGAAGTTGGAGTCGTCGGGGTTTTTGAACAAGGAGTTTGCGGTCAACGCATGTCCCAAAAGATAATCTTACTTGACTGACTGGCCCCGACGAGGTACCAAAACATGATTGTTAAAGCTGAGTACGAGGGCCCATGGTTTCAGGGGCTGCACGGTACCTGCATTAGCTTATTAAGTTCATGTTGTTGGCTCGTATACCTGTCGAGAAGTCATCATCCCGGACCTCAGACCTGATTCTTTGTGTAGGTGGGAACTTTTACGCAAAACCCGCGATGGGAAAAAGAGGTTGGGAATCATATTGCTGTTAAACGGCCTTGAAAACGGGTCTACATTGGTCCCGTGCACCATTCGCATTGCAAGACCCAGTTCAAAGCACCACACATTCCGAATTCCACTGCGCCGAGGCTGCGCAGCGATGTCTTTCTGCCGTGCCGTCCGGTATGCCAGCCTCAGTCATGGCTTACGGTGATTGTAGGTCTCGGGTGGAAGGTGTCTGGTTTTGGGGTCAGATTCAATGCGTAGGGACTCATGGTTCGATAGTGACGCCGAAGTCCTCGATGCATGCTGGACACCACACCCTTAAACCCAAGCCCAGCCCTGAACCGGAAGGTCTGTCCAGGTCTGTCCGTCGGTACATGGAGACAAGCTTGCCAGGTCTGCTTTAACAGTTCGAGCTTGGAGAGTTTGAGGGCATGGAGTTTGCCTGGATCTAAATTAAAGGTGCCACCGTTTTGTTTATGACTCGGCCCGCAGGAAGAGGGTCTGTTGTTGTGCCGTTGAAGCTGCGGTGCTTCAATTTCTGTGATTGTTTCTGTGATTGACGTGAAACCCTAAACCCTTAAATGCCATGCTGACTGCCAACATTTGGGGATCAAGTTACAGGTTCGAGGCCGTGCGTCACTGTGTGGTGGTAGTATTGCCCTATGCGCAAAATCACAGAGTAGGGTGCTGATTCAACGGTATGAGCGAGAAGTGAATCAGCATTTCTCATGATTTCTCATGTTCAAGTCTGCAGAGTCTGAGCTTCGACAGGCTTTTAAACCCCCGAACACCTACCCTCATGTTGTGGGCATTTTCGTTCCGAGTGTGGCAAGAAAACTTCAAGCCCGATTTCAAGACCTCGACCCCATATTCAGAATTCAAAACCCTGAAGCTGCAGAAAAAAGCACGAATACCAGAACAATGGGACCCCCAGACTTGATGTAGACGAGCCCCCAGGCTCAAGCAGCAGTTTAGTGTAGGGCTTCGGCTCTAGAGGGTTTTGTCAGTACCCAGCAGCCAAGAGGCAATGCAAAGGTCACTACACAGCATCCGTAGGCTGTGAAGGCAATGCTCCTTGGCAGGACGCAAAACAAATGCGCGAGTAAAGCAATCCGCGTATTCATGTCTCGAGTTGCGTGCCCAGGCTGAGAATGATAGAGTTCATTCAGCACCTGAACATGGAGTGTGATGGGTGCAGCGAAAGGTTCCAAAGAGTGGACCAGAATGTAGACTTGGTGCTGTGGAATCAAACAATCGACTGATTGTGGCACTCCGAGATTGAGCTGTTTCAATTCTCGACATGCACTGTACTCCTTCAAGAAATCAGGAGACAACGGAGACTGTGGACATAGTTCCGGTGACAGACTAGCACAAGCCGGTCTCTTGGACACGGCATGCACCCTAGTACAGCGAACAGATACCGAAGTATCCTTGAGACCAGAAACCACTTGTCAGGGCTGAGGCTTCTGGGAATCCTTTCAACGACTCCGCCTCTGCCAAAAAATCCCTGGACGCCCTCTGCCAGGAAGCAACAACGGCCATGATGGAACATGTAAAATCAAGATTATTCCTTTCTGAGGTGGTGCCGTCTGCACTACCGCCTTGCTCGAATTCTGGCTGCACTATGAGGTTGCCTTAATACAAGTGGTTGTGGCAGCTGCGCAATACCGTTGGGGCTGGTGGCCTCCAAAAAAAGCGCAGAACCCCTGCCCCACATTTCCCACGAAGACCTATTTATCTTTAAGGTCTGTTCGTGGTCAGACCTCGAGCTGCTTCGAAGGTGGAGTAGCCCGGAACGGCCCCCTTCCTTTTAACATGAACTGTGAAGCCCAGCACGACTGCTCCTGCCCCATCCTGCTCCTAAGCTCCACGGTAGAAGTTCTGTTCTAGGCCTTTCCGTGCAGCCCGAAAGCATTGTCCAGCCACCTGCCAGTATGCGCCTCGGCTGATCTTCAGTCCGGCATTACGCGACAAAACAAACCTCTTCCACCCGGGATGCTAATTGCTGTCTCACACACCGAAAACTCATTTGTCGCATACATCGCTCCGAATAATTACCGGAATGGAGGCTCATTCCGCGCAGAGGAAAGGGTCGGCAAAAGGCGAATGCATACAGTCATTCTCACCACTTTCTATGCGGTCATCAAAATACGAAGCACCGGAACCCTTTATGCCTGGGATAGTCACAAGACCCGAAGCGGTCAGTGGTCGAACGACTGTCCTCTTTATCTACAGGATCCTATAGGGAATCTAAGCAGAGGTTTGGCGCTTCGGTCCTTGCGTTTTGGCTTTCAGATCTCGTCTCTTGGCTCGAACAGCCTAGCATGCTCGCTCGTCAGGAGAAGTGGTGTCTGAAAGCAAGACGAGTCGCTGTTGGAGGATGAACCCGAAGCCGCCAATGCAGGCCAAAACCGAACAAATGACCTAGGAGGTGAACAAGATTTCGAGGCTGGGGGCTGAAAGTTTACTGCTTGGATGGACAGGGTTCAGAACTTGACACGAAATGGGTGGTAGTCCAGGTTTGGGCTCAGGCTGAAACGGTTGGGATTCCAGGTGATGGCTTGTGGGCTGAGGCTGGCAGCATTGGGCCTCATGGTTTTGAGGCTATATATGATGTGTAGCAAAATGAGCCGGGAACGCAGAAACGCGGGCAAGTACAGTATAACTAAGGCTGTAGGATTCCAGACGTTAGACACAAGACCGCTGTGCAGCGAAACATAAACTTCGCGTATGCCAGCGAAGAAGCAGTTGAGGCTGAGGACGGGGCCGTTAAAGGCTGGGGCTACCGAACAGGCCAAGCTTTATAGTCCGTGGGTCGCTTCCATCTTTCAATTAAGGGGTTGTGACTACGGTCAAACAAGAAATGAGACGGCTTCTGCAAGGTTGCCAGCAAGAGAAAAACCGGAGGCTCTGCAGCTACATACAGACTCTCTCAATTCAAAACCGTTTAACGCACATTGGTCATTGCAGTCTTTTGGCTTGCAGTGATTTCGAGAACGTAAAGCAACCCCCCCCCCGGTGCAGAAACAAAGCGGCTGACATGCAAACATGTGTCATAAATTCTCCCAACGATGCGGTGGCTCGACAGCCACTCCGGATGCTTGGATACCTGCAGTGGGTCCAGCACGTGTTGCTGAGACACATCTAGGGGGCTTGAACCGTTTCGCGCTTTTCGGCCTTGGGCCTTGGGCTTTAAGTTTCAGGTATTGTGCCAAGGTGTAAAGGGCTTGGGCAAGCTACGTTTCGGGGTGAGCGGCTTCTGGTTGACTGGTTGTGAGACCCTTATAGGTTTGCACTTCTCACGTTTGGAGGTTTTGCAAGTTATGTTGTAGTAGCGAGAGCTTCCTGCCCATACCTCGCGAAGATGCCTGACATTTTTGAGAGCTGGGGCAACAAGGCCCTCGACCCTGTAAATCCGTCTGAGTCCAGACATAAGAAAGCGCCCGAAAGTGTGCGGTCGGAAGTGACTAGGGCAATTAGTTGATTTGTAGGTTTGGGTGTCTATGGGGAGCTAATAAATGCTGAGCAATTGTCTTTGGAGCATGAAAACTTGGACATGAGGACGACGAGGGGAGCCAAACCCCCAAACCTGAACAACCTGAGTCATCTGCTTTTACTATTCAGGCTGGTCCGTCTTCCACGTACTGCAACCTGAAAGCCAAACGAACAGCCGTGCACTGGAGGGATGGCATGGAAAAGGAACTCTGCAATATCAAGATGCAGGGCCCAGGTCAAGGCACCTGGGTTTAACGAGTTTATGCTTTCGAGTCTGCTCTGCCCCGCAACTCTCTGCCGTTACCCCTTCAGCCAGGTTTGCGGGCAGCACTTGCCAAATGCCGGCCAAACTGATCACCGACCCGCAAACCTGGGCCCGCGTATTTGTTATCTCTTTCTACATGGGTAGCCGTGATCGAGTGCCCCTGAAAAGCCCGGCATGCCCAACACCGGGAGAATCTCGCACTTAATGCTTGATTGTGTTGCATGCTGGTGGTTGAAGATTGTGGTTTGAGAGTGGCGCTTGCAGCAATGCTTCCGGCTCAGCTTCCGGGTTTAGGTCGAGGATTCAGGTCAAAGTCCAGGCGAGGAAGTGCTCTGACAGCTTGATCGGCCATGTTCAAGGTCTCTTACGCGGCCTCATCCATCCTTGATGGAACTTGTCTGGCAGAGCTCTGAACGAACATCACACACCAGGGCTACTAGAGAAGCACATGGCTGGTGTGCAGTCCAGATTCTCGGGGCCTTGCAGTCTGGGAAAGCCTCTTGATAAAGAAGCTAAGCAGCTTCCTCAATCCCCAGATGTCACACATGATTTCCAACAAACTTGGTTCTACAATGATTGTGCTTGCTCCTCGAGGCACCCTGAAGCTATTTCTGAAAACACAACTGCCAATCGGGACCGGTAGCAAAGTGGAGTCCCATGCACACCACGCGCATGGTTGTCGTGCCCAAGTTTGGAAGCAGAATATTCCACTTCTCCTTAGGGGAAGCCGGAAGCCAAGATGTTTACGGCATCTGCCATGGCACCCAGGATCCAAGACCTGCCAACTCCTGCAAGACTCCAAGACACACTGCTTTCCTCATGGAAATGGACTCTATCCTTCACAGAGAACTGGCCCAAAACCGTGACTCCGAGAAACTCGACCTTGCTTTGTGAGTCCAAGCTCCGCCGGGTCGTCAAGCCCTTCGACGAAGTACATGGCCCAGACCTGGTGCAGGATCTGACTAAGCCCTCCTAGCTTGCCCCACATCCCGGAAACCGCAAACCCGAAACCGTGCTTGTGTGAGAGTTTTCTTTGCCGGTCCGGAAGGAAGAGCTGCAATTTGGGGGTTCAGTGCTAAAGAGGACCGGCAAGGGTGTTCACATCCCACAGGGCATGGGGTTTAGGCGTGTTTAGGGAAGTTCGGGGTTGATGAGGGACAGTCGAAGCGAAAAAAACATGTCGTTGATTTCGTAGTCTTGCTACCCGAAGGCTCACATCTGTGAGACCAAGATCTCATATCTAAACTGAGAGGCTAGCAAAGCCACATCAAGCATTCCATTGTTTCGGCGCGTTTCGGTTTGAAAGAATAATTAAACCGGTGTCAACGTGGAACTTGACTGCCAGGATTCTGATCATGAAGGCCATTACATCCTAAACACTCCAGCTAGCCGACTGCTGGGCCGCGTTGCCGACATCACCCAGGCGGTGGCCGGCACCAAGTAGATCCCAGCCATGATCATCCAGGGTGTCTGGTGGCCATCACTCAGCTCCTTTCTTGTTAAAGGAACGAAGACTAAGTTACCACGTTTTGAACAAGCTTGAGGCAACTTATGCGAAGTTCCTCGACAAAAGTGCTGGTCAGGGGTTGAGTTCAAGGATTGAGGCTTAACCTGCAATAACCAGGGCAATGTTGCTTGCAGCAAGCTCTGTATAGCTTCGATGTACTTGGCTATAGTGGAACATGCTGCAGGTGCTTGTTGCTCTCAGCATGTCGCCAACACTCTAAACACACGTCTCAGCTGAAAGCCCAAATTTTTGGCCTAGCGCAGCAGATATTAGAACAAAGCATTCCGGGCTTGGCTTGGGGAGAACATGGGGACATGTGAGTGAACTCCAACGCACATCAAGATGCCCTAAGACAAAACCCCTGCTCCCCAACGCAAACGGTAAACTCTGAACCCTGACACTCATTTGGAGCGTCCTTCTGTCCCGATTCCGCAAGGTTCTTCTTCACCAGGGTTCCACTTTCGTCGTCCGGACCCGAGGCATTGGCGATTTCCAATGGAACAGCCATGGCAAAAGCTTGCTGAACGGCCTAGTTGGTCGGACCCTGGGCTTCGTCTTCAGAGGGCGACAGGGTCAGCTGCACGCGGACTGGTTGGGGGGAAGCCTGGGGCTTGTGCGCACCACTGGGTCCACGAACTGGAGGGACCTCAAACTAAGGGAATCTGAATGAAGTCTTGTGGTTGTGAGGCCCAAGCCAGGGCAGCTTGAGCAGGCCCGAGCATAACAGAAATGGCTCTGTTGGACCATGGTGAAATCCCGGAATGGTCCAGCGTCTCTTACTCCCGTAAACAGACCTTTAGCTGGCTTCATGACTTGCCAACCCCCCGTGTTCTAGCAGTTCTGGTGTGTGTTGAATTAATGATTAATGTCTGTCACGGCAGCACGTAGCTCTGCAGCAATCTTGACAACAATGGCACCTTTCGTACCTTGCAGTTGCTTCGACCACTCAGTTTAAGGCATCAACTCCCATATAATCCTGCAGAATAGTACGTTCTTCAGAGGAATGATGTCTTAACTCTACTCTACAAGTCGACAAGAGAAGCAGTTTAAAGATCCGAGTCCCGGTGTGCGTGATGGGCAAACTCGAGAAACAATCGTGTATTCCTCGCAAATACCTGTTTCGTCGATCCATACTATACGGAATAAATATTACGTATATGTTGCTAGCAGGCCGTTATCAGTTCATTTTCGTGTGTTTCTGGTGTTATGGCTGCCAGCAACCTCATGATGACTGGCTACCTGTTGTATGAAAACACAGTACACGTTCTCGCGACCCTTATAAATTATAACAGCCTCAGCGAGTTCTGTTTTATCTACAACTACATGGTGTCACCTTCCTTCAGTCATTGAGCCACATGCAGTTGTCTGATCTCGTGAAACCGCCAGAGAGTCCGTCGGACCATCAGTTTAGCAGATCTCCTGGCAACTCCACCGACGAGGTTGCAGACTGCTTTCAGGACTCCTGGCTCATGACCCAACAAACTAGTAAGTATATGCTCCGATAATGTAGCGTAGCGGCTTATCCGAGAACGAGTCGATTAAACGAACAGCTCTGTCCAAAACGAAGAGGGTGCCGGATCACTGATTGAAATCGGCCTGACACCTGGTTGTACGCACGTTGAATGATTGTCGAATTAACCTGTCGGCCTGACAACCGAGCCGCTGCCGCACTAGGCGTTCGCATTCGCGCCTAGCTCGTTTTGACCTTTTCTGTTAACCGTCCGTCCATGTCACCTTAACTACATCACGCAGGCAGGAATCTTTCAACTCTACAGTTCCGAGCAAAGCTGTGGGGCTGATGGCACGGTTGTTTAGGTTTGGGCAAAATCTCAGCTGAGGTTGGCAGAATCTCGTTGCGTTCATCAAGACACCACAGCTACGAGCACTACTCGAGATCCTAATACTAGAAAAGGCGCTGTCCTTGCTGGTAGCAAAATAAGTTCGCCAATGCCAGTCTGCGGCACAACCTCAAACTCTGATCCGGATTCGTAGACTGTGGCTGTAGCTCCCAAAACCCTACTGTATACATACACCCCAAGCATCGGTGAGGCTTTTCAGCGCGAGACGGCTCTCTCTGACCAAGCATCAGAGAAAACTACGATCGCCTGCAAGACAAATCTAAACCTGCAAACGCTGCAGTTCTAGCTATGCTCTGGGCTCTGGGGTTTGGACTTGGGGACAACGGTTCTGAATTCAACAGGGTGTGCTGCCACCGCGGAGCAAACAATAAACCTCGGCTTGCTGGGTTGTTGAACGATTTTCGATCTCCGAGACGCGGTCAAGTTCTCCAGTTGTACAGCTCGACTTCATGTAATGAACTCCCAGACCAGACTCGAAGGCACAAATCACATGAGCAAGGTTTGATTCTGAACTTGCACACAGCATGGATCCTAAATCCGAAGTCCTGCGTGTGAACTTTCACAGAAAGCTACAGCTCTCGCCAACAGCTTGTCAGACGACAATCTCTAAGTTCTCCGCCTGTGCCCAGTGCCGGAACAGGGAGCGATGTCTTCTGTCGGTACGTCTGAGGCATGCAGGCATGGGGTCTTCAAAGTACCATAGCTGCGAAATCTCATCCTGCACCTGGCCTGGTTCGTTTCTCTCTCCTTGGCAGCTAAGTGACAGCCATTGCCAAAGGCTCAAACATCGTTTCATTAATCAAGGTCACGTATTTTTCCCGAGGCCTAAGTGCGAAGATTCCTTGGTAAACGAGTCTTGGAACCTGCGGCTTTGCCACCATCATTATCAAGACATGGTGTGCGACTGTGTAGGGAGTCTACAGCAAGGAATTTGGAGCCGTATGTATCCAAAACTCATACCGGGGACAAGCAACGGCAATGTCCCCTCACATCCCGTTGGTGCTGTGCTGGCGCCTTGTTCAAACGCTTTTGTTTGCTATACACTATAGTCACTGTAGCATCAAGACTTCGCTTGCTTGTTAGCACGCTCCAGTGCAGTATGGAGCTCCCTGTGAGCCTCCCATGCGAGAAGCGGATCACACTGACGTCCACGGCATGGTTCAGGGACCACCGTTGGGCAGCCTGCAGCAGACGGAACTGCAGCTCGGGGGCCTGTGAAGCCTTCGTTTCGTTTCCATGACGCTCAATTTCTGCGGCACTTCGGCGCTGATTTCGACCTTGTCGCAGCCTAGAGCCCAAGAACATCCAATCCCAATACTGCCTGCGTGATTCGAATCAGCACAGAATCATGCCAGTCTGCACACGCGTTCGAGAACTGAGAAACATGGTACGGTCAAAGCTGCTGAGACCATCCGCTCTGATCATTCAGCGGGCCTCCCAGGCTCCCTATTCCGGTCTGAGTTCAGGGTCCTTCCAACGCTGCCTCCTTCGAGGGGCGGACGCTCGAGGGCGTGCACCCAAGCATCGACCACCATTTTCGGTGGAATCCTCGGATTTGGGTTGACGGGAACCGGCGCACACAAGCTTCATGTTCAGTACTTGTGGGTTCCTTGCTGGCAGATCCTGTAGCACATACAACCGTCAAAGCCGCTGGAAACCATGCATTCGCTGAAAAAAGTCAACAGCTGCAGGAGCAATATCATGTTCAAGTTCTTCATCATCAGCAATAGCAAGACCATACCACCAAGTATTGCCCTCGCCCGCCCCCCCCCATGATCATCACCCTGCTCAGTCAATCGACTACACTCAAAAATGGACCAAGCATCAACCAGCACCATCATCACCATCGTCCTCATGTTCATGACCACCATCATGAGCAACCGCGGCAATATATATTGACCAACACCCCCAGGATCATCACATCCTGGAAGTGAGCCTCGCCGGTGTGACTCAGCGACAGCAGTTGGAAGTTGGAAGCATGAAGCCATAAACAGCATCTGGCGACGAAGCATGACCTGTGTTCACCCTGATCACTCATTTTGGGAAGATTCGACTTCGGATTCCCTGCGCTGATAGGATTATTTGAAAATCGAAAGAGGTTGAGACAACCACGCCCTGCACAGGCTGCACTAGACAGCATCAAGCATCTTCGTGATGTTTTTCGCTGCGTTGCCATCCAGCAGGTCTCGATAGCAGCTCAAGTAGCAGTCCTTCAGGGCCCAAACGGTGCAAAGGGCTCGGTTGCTTTCGAACTCTCGGGTTCATAAGACCTTGTGTCACACAGGGGCGGGCTGCAGACCTTCAAGGTTGAAACCTACTTCAGGTCTCAACAGGCCCGGCGTTGGTCTCCGTGAAGAAGCCTGCTGACTCTGTGGGGCCAGATCTTTCTGCTTCACGCTCAAGCCGCTTCACCAACAAGGCCGAAGGATGCAGTCTGAAGTCGGCAGCACAAAACTCCGAATCGAGTTCCCGGGGCTTGGGAGAAGTGTTGTGCGGCCGATGTCAGTTCGGACATGAACCTGATTGCCAAAGACTAAACTCCAAGCCCCAAACACGAAACCCCGACACCCTAAACTGCTGAGACATTCAAGGGCCTTAACAGCCTGCGCGCTGATCCCTTCCCAGTCCGAGGTGTGGTTAAGCGGCTGCGCGCAGCGGCCAAAGCAGGGAGCACCAAACCTGTTGGATCTTCGGTCTTTGGTGTAGGCGTCAAAGAGTCGGGGGGTTGAAGGTTTCATTAGGGGTTTCCTGGTTCAAGAGGCTTGGAGCTTCGAAATCTGGTGCTTGTGGGGGACTCAGGATCGGGACTTTCGGATTTGGTTGTTTCAGCAGAGGCTTGAATGGGAAATTTGTGGCTTGTAGATGCTGCACTGTGTTCTTGAAAGATACAGCGACAAAATTCAGACATGCTTCCGGGTTTCAGGATTGTTCCCAATCTCTCTTCGGTGGGCTTGGGCTCAGAGCTACGAAATGAGACGAATGATTTAGGAGGAGGCGCCGAGGCATGAACTTGGGTGCGCATGGCTTCGGGCTTAGATGGTAAAGTTGCAATGGTAAGATTGGTAATGGAAAGCATGGTATTTACCACAAAGCCTTATGATGGTACATCATCAAAGTCAAAAGATCGAGCTCGACGGCTTGGGGTGCAAGGTCAGGCATCATTGAACCTCGAGCTCTTGGGTAACCAAAAGGAATGGTAACCAGGGCCAGTGGCTGCCCGTGAGCCTGTAGGCATCTTGCTTAGGTCATTCTGCCTGCTACGAGAAGCCCAAGTATTCCCAAAAAAGAGACCGGTGCTCAAATGCAAAACCCGCACTAAGACCGCACAACAACATACAGCACCAACCTCTGAACCCTAATGGCCCTAGACCCTAAACTCTGAAAACCCATATGTCTTGTGCTGAACGAGACTCTGCTCTACAACTTCATCGACTTTCTGACCGACGCAGCTTGCGTTCTTGTAGGCCGAAACGACCTGCAAAACTTCACGAAACCCTGAACCGTCTATCCAGCAAGTCTCTGAATGTGAATCCACAGCCCGCCCCAATCCAAAATGCCAAAGAACTCTTGTCCCAACGCCTTATCACTGCCCCAAGCTGTATAGTCCATCGGATCGCCCGAAGATTGAAACGTCAAGAAGCCTGGATGA